AGAACCCTGTGATTACCTTGGGCCCACTCAGAAAATCCAAGATAACCTCATTTAAAAACCCTTAACTACCCTGCTGGAGTGGCTCAATTAGTTGATGCTTTAAAAAGATTTTTTTAAAGACCTCACCTGAAGATATGCTTTTTTGTTTGTTTGTTTGTTTTTATTGATTTCATAAAGGAAGGAGATAGAAACGTCAGTGATGAGAGAAGATCATTGATTGGCTGCCTCTTGTACGCCTCCTATGCCCTTGACCGAATTGAACTCGAAGCCCTTCAGTCGGTAGGCCCACGCTCTATTCACCGAGCCAAACCGGCTGGGGCTGTTTTTATTGAATTTAGAGAGGAAGAGGGGAGAGTGGATTGGTTGCCTTCTGCATGTGCCCTGTCTAGGCTCAAACCACAACCTAGCTACATGCCCTGACCGGGAATCAAACCCGCACGGGGGCAATGTTCCAACCCACTGAGCCACCCGGCCAGGGCTGCAAATCATTTTAGAAAAGGTAGTCTCTTAGGGCTGATTATGGTCTTGTCTGAGAGGGGTAGGAAGATCCTTAAGGTGACTCAAAAATCACATGGCCACAAACACGCATGCTTTTGGAATTTGACGTTCTTGGCAGATAACATGTTTGCCTCCTGTTCCTTTCCCTATTGTTGCAGCTGCATCCATTTTTGCCCTTAGGGAAAAAACAGGCTTCTTCTCCTCCTCCTCCTTCTTTTAAATATATTTTATTGATTTTTTTTACAGAGAGGAAGGGAGAGGGATAGAGAGTTAGAAACATCGATGAGAGAGAAACATGGATCACCTGCCTCCTGCACAACCCCTACTGGGGATGTGCCCGCAACCAAGATACATGCCCTTGACCAGAATTGAACCCGGGACCTTTCCGTCAGCAGGCTGACGCCCTATCCACTGAGCCAAACGGGTTTCGGCAAGGGCACGCTTTTCTACCGTAGCAGGTGAACTCCAGCAGGATTCAGGAACTCGGACCTGGAAGCACAGTCTCTACGTGGTGTTAACCAGTGAGGCTAAAAACAGATTTTCATCGAGTGCCTGGTCAATGACTTAACGGTTACAGCTAACATTCACATCTCAGTTACCATGTGCCGGCCAGTGTTCCACGTACTTCTAGATTTCAAACGGATCTCATCCTCTCAGCAGTCTCTGAGGCAGGCACTCTGGTTATCCTCTTTAGCAGAGGAGGAAACTGAGGCACAGGGAGAGGGGAAGGGCCAGTGAGGAGCAGGGATAGGATGTGAGCCCAGATGTCTGGATCCAAAATCTGGGCCTGAACCATCATTGTAGTTCTTGCACTGACATGCGCACATATTTTTATATTTATAGAAAAAAATCTGGAAATTTATTGTTGTTATTATTTATTATTTTTTAAAATATACTTTATTGATTTTTCACAGAGAGGAAGGGAGAGGGATAGAGAGCTAGAAATGTCGATGAGAGAGAAACACCCGCTACTGGGGATGTGCCCGCAACCAAGGTACATGCCCTTGCCCGGAATCGAACCCGGGACCTTTCAGTCCGCAGGCCTACGCTCTATCCACTGAGCCAAACCGGTTTGGGCAAAAAATCTGGAAATTTAGAAGCAAAATGCATAAGCTGTGCTATTCTTGGCATCTTTCAAGTGGGATGTCCTGGGGACTTCGATTTTCTTCTGTTTTCCAAGTGTCCTATTGCCTGTGTGTGTGGAGAAAAGAGGTGCCGGTGTAACAGGGCCCTCGGCAGTGCCTTATCCCCCAAGATCTCTATCTTGCTTGAACCCTGTTTTAAAGGTATGGTCAGATGCTGCTGAGTCAACACCTTAAGATACATCACTTTCGCCCTAGCCAGTGTGGCTCAGTGGATAAAGCGTCCGCCTGCAGACTGAAGGGTCCCGGGTTTGATTCTGGTCAAGGGTATACGCCCAGGTTACAGGCTCAGTCCCCAGTAGGGGGCCTGCAGGAGGCAGCCACTCAATGACTCTCTCTCCACTGATGTTTCTATCTCTCTCTTCCTCTCTGAAATCAATAAAAATATATTTAAAAAAAAGATGCAGCCCTGCCGGCATGGCTCAGTGGTTCAGCATCGACCTGTGAACCAGGTCACGGTTCTTTTCCCGGTCAGGACGCATGCTTGGGTCGCGGGCCCCATCTCCAGGTAGGGGGTGTGCAGGAGGCAGCCCGTCACTGATTCTCTCTCATGGTTGATGTTTCTATCCCTCTCTCCCTTCCTCTCTGAAATCAATAAGAAATGTTAAAACAACACACCAAAAACATCTCTTTCATGGAGTTAGGACGTCCAAACGACAAGGCACTTAGAGCTTCTTGCCTGTTTCTCCGAGCTGCCGATGAGGAAATGCCACCCACAGAGCCCGAGGCCTGGCTGAGAGGTCACCCAGTGCACAGCCAGGGGCCGGCCTGCCTTCTGTTTTCTCATGAGCTCATGCTGCCTCCGCAGGGGGAGGAGTCGCAGCCGCTTCCCTCTGCCCTTCGCTCTGAGGCTGGAGGCAGCACCTGACCTGCTGACATCACATCCTATTGGCCTGGGATCTGGCCTGGGGTTTCCAGTGACTAAAGTTGCAACTCGGGAACTTTCCATTCTAGCCGGTTGCTTTCCTGGAGGCTTTCTCCCTGCAGGAGCTGCCACCGCCTTCCCCATTCCTTCGGGGAAGAGGGGCCCCATGCAGCACGGCTCTGAGGTCTCACATGGCTGTGAGGACCAAGTCCAAACCCCTAGCCCAGTGTTCCATGCCCTTGGCTGTATTTTCCTGGCCTTCATCTCTTGTCCACTTACATTTTTATTTTATTTTATTTTTTAAAATATATTTTATTGATTTTTTACAGAGAGGAAGGAAGAGGGATAGAGAGTTAGAAACATCGATGAGAGAGTCATTGATCAGCTGCCTCTTGCACACCCCCTACTGGGGATATGCCCGCAACCAAGGTACATGCCCTTGACCGGAATCGAACCTGGGACCCTTCAGTCCCCAAGCCGACGCTCTATCCATTAAGCCAAACTGTTTTTGGCCAAACTGCAAAATCTTAATCTTACAGAACCACACCTGTGTGTGTGTGTGTGTGGGGGGGGGCTGGGGCTGGGGACAGGGGGTTGGTTAGAAGAGAAAGTACCCTAATAGGATGCCTGCTCCCGTGTGTACACAAGATGGCCAGCAGGGGAGGGCAGTTGGGAGGGACCAGGCCTGCAGGGAAGGGCAGTTGGGGGTGAGGGAACGGACCCAGCCTGCAGTGGAGGGCAGTTGGTGGGGGGACCAGGCTTGCAGGGGAGGTCAGTTAGGGGCAAACAGGCTGGCAGGGGAGCAGTTAGGCATTAATCTGGCTATCAGGGGAGTGGTTAGGGGGCCAGCAATCCTGAATTGTGAAAAGGATGTCCCAGGTTGGAGAGGGTGCAGGCTGGGCTGAGGAATTTCATGCACCGGGCCTCTAGTTACTTTCACAAAAGAAAATGAAAAGAAGGAATGCATCCTTTTTAGTATTGTCAATGGTAGCCCCCTGCACATTTTGTGTGCTTCAGAGTTGGCAAAGTGCTTTTGGATCCACAGGCTCATTTGGTCCTTCTAACTATTCTTTGAAGATGGTGGGCCATGGTGGGCTGGCTCATTCATTCATTCATTAATTCATTCATTCATATTTCCTCTGTCAGGGCTGGGACTTAGAGGTGAGGGTAAAATTTAAGGAGGCATAAGGAGACACCTAATCTTCAGATGCTGCAAGTGTTACCGGCGATATTGGCAGCAAAACAGAACCAGATGTTACTGGCTAAGTTGGACCTTGGTTCATATGTGTGTGTGTATGTGTGTATGTGAGTGCGCATATTGATTCAAAGAGGAAGGAAGAGGGAGAGAGAGAGAGAGATAGAAATATCCATGAGAGCCTGCATAAGCCCCACTGGGGATGGAGCCTGCAACCCAGTCATGTGCCCTGACTGGGAATTGAACTGTGACCACTGGGAATTTCCCCAGTGGCTACAAGCTCTTCATAGGTCGATGCTCAACCACTGATCTGGTCAGGATGGACCTCGGTTCTTGAGTTCGGCAAAGAAAGAATTCAGAACCAGGAACTAAAAAGAGAAAGTTTATCTAGAAAGTTCCAGAAGCAGTAGAAGTGAGCCGGCTGGGCTGCTTAGGCTCAGAAAACAAGTCACAGAAACAAAAGGAGGGCCCTTGAGCTTAGGAGAGAGAAGGCGAAAGGACCGTGTAGGGGCAGAGGGAGGCGAAAGGGGGGAAAGGAAAGGTGCAGGGGTGCAGGCTGGGGAGCCTGAGGGGAGGCTCTCTGGAATATTCATCAGCTTTATGCTGATGCTCCTAAATGAGATTTATTTCCCTGACTTCCATCCTCGGATGGGGATGGCACAAATGGCACTGATGGGATTTTCTGTTATCTACTTCCCTGGGTAGGGCGATTTAATTGCAATTTCCTCGATGGCTGTAAACTGTCTCCATTTCCCTGTTCCACTTGGTCTGCCTTCCTAGCCCGTCTCAGGCGTATGACGAGCCCTAAGAGTGAGTCCCTCCTTAAATTTCACTCCCTGGTGCCCTCCCCTGCCTCACCCTAGTCCTGGCCCTGGCCCGGCTCTGTGCCAGGCCCTGTTCTCTGTCCGGGATCTAATGGTGAACGGGACACGCAAACCCCCTCGCAGGGCTTGTCTGGGAGGGGAGGCGGGCAGAGGTGTTGCCGCGGTGACAGTGGAGGACACAGGCTCCATGGGGCAGTGACTTGCTCAAAGCAAATAAGCAGCTAACGCTCGCGGCCCCGCCCCCCACGCCTAGCGTCTTCCTCCAGAGTCTCGTGTGGCAGCGACGTTGTGTTCAGGTCCAGGCGTTAATGTGCCGCCCGCACCGGGATGCAGTGGAATCGGCGTTGGTGCTGATGATGGGATTGCCGGTCTGGTTGGGGCCGATGGGGGAAACGTGAAGGACGAAGCCTGGCTGATGCACTGACCCTCTCGGGAGGCATTGCTTTTCTGACTCTATCCTCTCCCCCGCCTTCCAGCCTCCTACGTGATCACGGACCTGACGCAGCTGCGGAAGATCAAGTCCATGGAGCGGGTGCAGGGCGTGAGCATCACCCGCGAGCTGCTGTGGTGGTGGGGGATGCGCCAGGCCACCGTCCAGCAGCTGCTGGACCTGCTGTGCCACCTGGAGCTGTACCGCGCGGCCCAGATCATCCTCAACTGTGAGTCCCCGAGTGTGCTCTCCCGCCTTTGACCTTTGTGAATCCTTCGAAAAGTTACGTGAGCTTTGTGCAGTGGCAGTATCATAGCCAGCGAGGTTTCCCTGAGGCACGGTGATTACTAATTGGAAACTTTCCCCAATACTCTGATATGACAACCTGAAATAGGCAGCATTCGCAATTAAAATTTTTTGAATGGAAAAAAAAAAGTTTGAATGAAAGAGTTTACCTTCTAACGAAGACATTAGTCACAGAGTTTATCTCCGGTAGTGGGCGGAGATGGAGGTCACACCCAGGCCGTCTGGATCCAGAACCGTTTTTTCTTTTCTTTTTCTTTTCTAACGGTTTTAATTATAACTTCAAGTCTTATAGATACAGACACTGTATTTCTTCCAGGACAGACACTCATATCTTCATAACACAACAGGGAAGAAAACAAACATTAAGTTTTAACTCTTGAGCCCGTGTACTCTTCTGAGCTTAGACATCGACATATTTTTTTCCTTCTCCTTCACAGCTTGGCTTGCATCTGACTCATTAGCTTCTCCAATTCAATCTCCAGTGCCATGTCTCTCCTTTACTCTTCCATTTTCATGACATGAAGGCCATTGTCTGTTTCTTTTTTCTTTTCTTTTTTCTTTTTTAATATATTTTATTGATTTTGTACAGAGAGGAAGGGAGAGAGATAGAGAGTTAGAAACATCAATGAGAGAGAGTCATAGGTCAGCTGCCTCTTGCACACCCCCTACTGGGAATATGCCCGCAACCAAGGTACATGCCCTTGACCGGAATCAAACCCTGGACCTTTCAGTCCCCAAGCCGACGCTCTATCCATTGATCCAAACCGGTGTTACGCCCAGACTTCATGATCCCCAAGGACCACCAGGGAGCTGAGTCCGTTGCAATAAACAAAAGAGCCTTTTCCATGCTGGCATGGGCTCCTCCCACTCCCGCCGGCAGCATGGCGGAAGAGAGCCCATGCCAGCATGGAAAAGGCTCTTTTGTTTATTGCAACGGACTCAGCTCCCTGGTGGTCCTTGGGGATCACGAAGACTGGGCGTAACATATGGGGGAATTCGTCCGGGATCCCCAGCCAGGACCATGAGGGACCTCGATCCAGAGAGCCTGACTGCCCGTGGTAGGTGTGTGTGTGTCTGTGTCCTTGTGTGCGCGCTCTGAAGGGATGTAAAACCCCTCGTGGAATTGGTGCCTGAATACGCCTGGTGGACGCACCATGAAGGCCACGGGCAGGAGGTTTCAGAAGACGTTCTGACCTCCCAGGAGGGCCCTAGAGAGACCCTCATGTAGGGAGAGGAATGGAAGCTTCTCCCAGGACGTGCCTCACCTGCGGAAAGTGAGCCTTTCCCAGGTCTGAGTTTGGTATCTGTGGGCGACATGGCGCCCCAGGATGGAGCCGGCGAAGTGTGGCCGGCGTGGTGGTGCGGGGCCCCTGGCGGCGTTGGGTCGGAGGGGGGGCTCCCGCGTGGCTCAGTCTGCACGTTGGAGCGTGGCTGGGCAGTGGTGGCCTCACTTGGGGAGCAGGCACCTGGGTTAATTTGCTGGCTGCCTGGGGAAGGGGACGCGGAGCCGGGAAGCCCCTGGGGCGGCCCGCGCGTTCTCCTCGGGGCCACCGGCAGCAGCCTCTGCTCTGGGGGCCTGGGTAGGGGGGGGCGAGGGGTCCTGGGTGGGGACGGGGGGGCCCTGGGGGCCTGGGCCGGTGTGGAGGCCTCGAGGCCTTGGGTCTGGGAGAAGAGCTCGAGGATGAATCTCTGTGCTCAGTAAAGAGAAAAGGCTAGTTCAAAACGAGTGCGCATAGTTTTGGGCTGTGCTTAAAACTTTTCTGTGTACAGAATGAGCTTTAAAAGTGGTGGAGATTAACTGGGAGATAAATTAAAACTGGTTTCCCAAGTCATTGTAAGCAGCTTTTGAAATTCCCTGCCATGAGGCGGAAACTAGATGGTAATGGTAACAAGTTTACGTGAATGGCTGGCTGGGAATCTTCAGCTAAAGAATGTGTTCATTTGCATTTGAATGCTACTCCAGTGATCTCCAGGGAGTGGCAGGTGATTCTGTGGTGAAGCTGCCCAGATGGCCTTGCTTACAATGTTTAGTCTTTGTCATTGGTATCAGCTAAGCAGAGTCATATAGCTACTTAAGTATGAATTGTGATTGACCTATGAACAAAATTCATTCTTTTTTCTGACATTGTCTTAAATCTTAGTAAACTGCCTCTGGTGCGGATAGGTCTAGGGGAGGCCGGAGAGCACAAGACTATTAGCTCTCCTGCAAAGAGATTATTCAGTGCTTTGTTTGAACTTCAGAAGAAAACATTTTGAGATCTGAAAAAATGTATGACCAGATCTGTTGCTGAAACTTTACCCTAAGTAAGCAGGATGTGTTAGAAATGTAATGTTATTAATCTAAAAAATGCCAAATATATTTGACTTGCCAGCTTTAAAAGTTCAAAATATAAATTGAATTAGGAAAAGTTAATTGCAGTAACTATGGCAGGCTAAACTGTATTATATGTGTTAAGAATAAGCAGTAATGATCAAAGATCTCAAGGATTGATTTATTCTCATTTGTCAGACGAAAAAGTATGTAATGCTTACACTTAAAAAAATTACTTTAAGTCAGTGATGCGGTATTTTTTGAAGTCAGTTTTTCTGAAGTAATGTTTAATGTAACATTTGGGGGAATCAGAGCCCGTGCTGGCATGGAAGAGGCTCTTTTGTTTATTGCATCAGACTCGGCTCCTTGGTAGGCCTTGGGGATCACGAAGTCTGGGCGTAACACCGGTTTTGGCCCGTTGTCGGTTTCAGTCTCCCTTGGTTGCAGGATCCTCCTGGTTGGGGCTCCAGTGGGTGTGTGTCTCTCACATCCGTGTTTCTCCCGGTCTGGATCCAGAGCCTCTATTCTCAGCTTTTCTCGTGAGAACATCAGAGAGCTAAGTGCTTGGGTTTCCAGGAAACAGTGCGACATTTTGCCTGTCCCCTTCCCTTCTGCGTAGAACTTTCCTCAGACCCCTCTTTCCTGTCCCCACACCTCTGTCCCCTGGGGGCTGTGAGAGTCTGCCCACCTCTGCTCCCCGCTGCTTTCTCCCCCCCGCTGGGCCTGGCTGGTTACAGCTGCCTGAGGAAGAGAGAGTGAAGCCTGCTTGTTTCCACATCCACAAACCCCCTGGCTGTTCTCCTATTTTGTGAGTTTGGTTGTGTTTTTACTATTGCTTTGGGTCCCCGGGCAAGGTAGCGCCCCTTTCTGTACCTTTTTATTTTCCGGAGGGGAAAAATAAGTGCCATCAGTTTCTGTTACTCTTTGGAGGCAGTAAAGACCGTGTGTGGAAAGCATTTTAAGTTTCTGTATTCCAACTGGTCAAAGCAGGTTTCCCTTCCCTAAGAGTAGTGAGGCAGGAGAGTAAGAAGCTAGGAATAGGGAAACTGAGACAGGTAGTTACTAGTAAATAGCAATTTGCAGCCATCGAGAAAATCCTATCGTCCCTAAACCAAGGGCAGTTAAGAGTAAATGGTTTGGTGTTGGCCAGTGTGGCTCAGTTGGTTGAGCGTCCTCCCATGCACCAAAAGGTTCATTTCTTGGTAGGGGGCAAGCAGGAGGCAGCGGATCAAATCTCTCTAATATCCATGTTTCTCTCTAAAAAATTAATTAAAAGATACTTTTTAAAAATACATGGTTTGCACTTCCCCCCAACCAGAGGGTAAATAGCTTAAATCACCCTACTCAGGGAGATACCGTGTTTCCCCGAAAATAAAACATCCTCCGAAAATAAGACCTACTTACAGGTTTCCTTTGAGTGAAATATAAGGCATCCCCCTGAAAATAAGGCCCCCCCTAGGCTCTGTCTCAGAATGCTATTGCTAAACATGAGAGATTTGGTCCACTGATTCTGAAAGACATGGAGTCAAAAGAAATTCACCAGGAAATTCAGGAATTGGATTGTTATGATGATGTTCCAGAAGATGATGACATGATTGTCATTGAATAAATGAGTAAATTCTTGATACTGTAGGATTCACAGTTTGTCTGGTTTGTGTTGACAACTTCCGTACTACCGTACCGTATACAGGTAATAAATTTCCTTTGTTTTCATTTAACAATAAGTGTGTACCGTATTCTTCTTCATGGAAAAATAAGACATCCCCTGAAAATAAGACCTAGCGCATCTCTGGGAGCAAAAATTAATATAAGACACTGTCTTATTTTCGGGGAAACAGGGTAGATGGTAGAAATCCAATTAGTGCTATTTGCCTGCCACACCCAAGGACAGATAAAGAGAATAAATCTCATTTTGGTACATCAGCACAAAGTTGATGACTATTCTATTGAAACCCTCCTCTAAATAACCAGCCTTTATTTTATTTTTAAAATATATTTTTATTTACTTTCAGACAGGACGAGAGAGAGAGAGAGAGAGATAGAAACATCAATTATGAGAGAGAATCATTGATTGTCTGCCTCTTGCACAATCCCCAGGATTGAGCCTGCAACCCACACATGTGCCTTGACTGGGAATTGAACTGTGACCTTCATAGGTTGATGTTCAACCACTGGGCCATACCGGCTGGGTAACAACCAGCCTTTAAAACCCTCAAAACAAGGTCCCAGCTCACACACACTCTCTCTCTCTCCCAGGAGCACACCTACACCTCCCTCCTTCTCCCCCCACAGGCACGCACCTCCTAAACTCTAAGGGACCCCATGAGGCTTGCAACCAGGGCAGCAAAGGGCAGTGGCATTTCATCTAGGCACCCCCCCCCCCCCAACTTTCCCCCAAGAACCCCCTTTTCTCTGATGTCGCAGTGAGCCAAAGCAGCCCAGCCTAGGCTCATTTCCCCACCTAGTCCTTCTGTTATCCTTGGCCCATGGTCGGCAAACTATGGCTCAAGAGCCACATGAGTCTCTTTGGCCCCTTGAGGATGGCTCTTCCACAGAATACCACGGCCTGGGCGAGTCTATTTTGAAGAAGTGGCATTAGAAGAAGTTTAAGT